CCTGGCTCCTGGCTGATCCCAGAAGCACCGGGCTCCTGGCCAATCCCAGAAGCACCGGGCTCCTGGCCAATCCCAGAAACACCGGGCTCCTGGCCAATCCCAGAAACACCGGGCTCCTGGCCAAACTCCTCGCTGTCGGAAGGCACCGAAGGCTGCACCAGAGGGGAAGGGCCTGGAGAGGGAGGCCTAGCCATCTCCTTCATGTTCAGAGCCTTCCTCCTCTGATGAGAGGGACCCACCGGACGGAGCCACAACACCTCCGCCTTGTGTGAGGGTCACTTTCTGAGCCCTTCCTTTCTGGTCTTCTTTCTTTCTGACCCCAAGCAACCACCTATCTCGACCGCCTTCTGCCAAGGGTCCAGCTTCTTCCAGGTCCCTGGAAGTGCCTTCCTCGGAGTCTGCCAGAGTGACTGCTTCGCTCCAGGTCACCATTTCGCCCTCTTCTATTCCGCTGGTAGGAAGAGATAGGTTGATTGCGACCCACCTTGGTAGGGCAGCTGCCTCTCCGGGTTGGGCACTATGCAGACCTTGCTTTGTGTAAGGATCTGCCTCAACTAGGCCTGCCGAGAAAGCAGAACTCTTGAAACAGGCATTGTCTCAATAGGGACTTTTATTAGGGACTAGTGATAGCAGGGAAAACAAAGTGAGGTCTGAGGAAAAACCCACATAAGCAGTGTATCAAAAGCAGTATTCGTTACTCCTCCAATGGTCCATTTGAATCCTAGCCAATCCACAGATGACATATTGTTTTGGTAACTGGCCCCTTTGGCACGCTCTTCAAGGTCTCTCTCACTTTTGTTTCTCTCTGGCTCCATGTCATGGTTCCGACAGATGAAACTCTTCAAAAGAACTTCGAGGCATTGTTTACCTTAAAGAATCTTTTATTCGAGAAGCAAAGTATCGGCACTACATAGTTAAAGCCAAAAACTGAATTCCCCTCCCCTGGGCACAAAGTAGCAAAGCACAATTCTCTCCTCCAATTAACAGTCATAAATCACATTCCCCAATTAGCTTGAAGTTGCGAGCTTTCTCTCCAGCTCTCCAGCCTGCCAAATCTTTATCAGCTCTGGGCGCAATAACCTTGATTCCAACAGCTAAGTTATTATTGTTATGACTAACTGGACTCTCATCCACATCCCCCCTCCAAGCATCATCTAACTCTAAAAGCGAAAGAGAAAAGATGGCTACATTTCCATTTGTTGTCAAAGCAAGAACATCCGATGTTAGCAGCATTGACACGCCAACTGTCTTATAGATAAGGGTGATGTTATTCAGCTGCATTCCAGCTCCTGGAGGAAGGGCAGCGTGGCAAGACAGTGCAAAGCATCCCCGCTCCCAACAGAATGGCAGGCCCCAAAAAATGGTTACAAAAGCACGTATACGATAGAAAGAGGAGTAATACATTTCTTTGGGGATGTAACACTATATGTTGAATCTGCATATGTTTTATTGTGTATATATGTGAGTCTTAATTAAGCAACTGCTTTTGTTTTACAGATTTCATAAAAGTAGGCAAAACAACTGGACAGGCTGTTCGTATTCTTCAGAGGAAAAAAACACTCTGGGATGAGCCACCAGAAAGTAAATTGTTTCTTTTTATAATTTTGTTTTATAATATAAAAGTGTATACTTGAATTGTACTGTTTGTCCTAGTGAAGAAAATATACAGTTTCATCCATGTAGAAAATAGCAACTGGAAGATAGGGACTAAGGAAGCTAATTGCAAAATAATATGAGCAAAAAATACTGCATCTGTCTTTACACAAAAAGAAAAAAACAGTCCAACCCATAAAAAAATACTATAAAATGAAGATTAGGAATATAAGCCAAAATAAGCAAGAAAATGGTAAGAGAACACCGATCCACTCTAGACGAGTTCAAATCACCAGGACCAGATGGATTACACCCCAAGGTTCTGAAGAAATTGGCAGATGAGCTCACAGAACCACTGAACTATATCTTTCAAAGGTCCTGGAACACCCAGGAACTACCAGAGGACTGGGAAAGAGCTTATGTAGTTCCCATCTTCAAAAAGGGAAAAAATGGATCCCGAAAACTACAAACCTATCAGCCTGACATCAATACCTGAAAAGATTCTGGAAAAGATAAGCAACAAATCTGCGAACACTTAGAGGCAAACATGGGTTTGCCAAAAAATGATCATGCCAGACAAATCTTATCACATTCTTTGACAAAGTGACAAAATTAGTGGACCAAGGAAATACTGTGGGTATAATTTAGTTGGACTTCAGTAACGCATTTGATCAAGTTCACTTGATAAGAAAGTCATGGTGGTGCAGTGGTTAGAATGCAGTATTGCTGGCTAACTGCCAACTGCCAGCAGTTCAGTCCTGACTGGGGCTCAAGGTTGACTCAGCCTCCCATCGCTCCAAGGTCAGTAAAATGAGGACCCAGATTGTTGGGGGCAATATATTGACTCTGTAAATGACTTAGAGAGGGTTGTAAAGCACTATGAAGGGGTATATTATAAGTCTAAGTGTTATTGCTAAGATAGAAAAATGTGGGTTAGACTGCATCACCACCAGATGGATTTTTAATTGGCTGACCAACCGCACTCAATGTGTAGTCTTAATGGAACTGCATCTATATGGAGGGAAGTATGCAGTGGGGTACCCCAAGGCCTAGTACTATTCAATACTTGTATCAGTGACTTAGACAAGGGGATAGAAGGCTAACTCATCAAATTGGCAGACAATACCAAGCTGGCAGGAACAGCCAACACTCCAGAAGATAGGCTCAAAATACAGAAAGATATTGATAGACTTGAACACTGGGCCCTATCTAAGAAAATGAAATTCAATGTACAAAAAGTAAGGTTTTACATTTAGACAAGAAAAATCAAATGCAGAGATATAGAATAGGTAGTACCTGGCTCACAGTAGCAACTGTGAGAGGGATCTTGGGGTCCTAGTGGATAATCACTTAAATATGAGCCAGCAGTGTGCTGCAACTACCAAAAAAACCCAATACAATCCTAGGCTGCCTTAATAGAGGGATAGAATCAAGATCACGTGCATTGTTAACACCACTTTATAATGCCTTGGTAAGGCCACACTTGGAACATTCCACTCAGTTTTGGTTGCCACAATATAAAAAAGATGTTGAGATTCTAAATAGAATACAGAGAAGCGCAGCAAAGATGATTAGGTGCCTGGAGGATAAAGCATTCAAAGAACTGTTGCAAGAATTTGGTATGTCTAGCTTAATGAAAATAAGGACTAGGGATGATATGATAGCAATGTTCTAGTATTTAAGGGGCTGCCACAAAGAAGAGGGTGTCAGCCTATTCTCCAAAGCACCTGAAGGCAGGACAAGAAGCAATGGATGGAAACTAATGAAGGAGAGAACCAATTAAGGAGAAATTTCCTAACAGTTAGAATAATTAATCAGTGAAACAACTTGCCTCCAGAAGTTGTGGGTGCTCCAACACTGGAGGTTTTTAAGAAGAGATTGGACAACCATTTGTCTGAAATGCTATAGGGTTTCCTGCTTGAGCAGGGGGTTGGGCTAGAAGATCTCCAAGATCCCTTCCAACTCTAATTCTGCTATTTGTAATGCAAATGAGCATTATGTTTACATTACCAGCTTCACACTTGAAATGCATTACTCAGTCACATAAATGTTACCTGGTTTCACCAGAAATCAGAAATTTCTGTATATTCAGAATAGGTCTTGTTTGTCAGGACAATTTCTGGCAATCAGCTAGAAGGCAAAATTTCCTGACAGGTAGCCTTACCGTTAGCTGGCCTTTGATATTTTCTAGCTTTTAGTCTTGAATTTTGACACTACTTTAACCTTTGCAATAACACAGTTTCAGGTCACAGGTTATTCTATGAGCTGATTTTGGAGCTTAATACATGCAATTCTTTTTGATTTCAGTGATTTTTAAATACCAGTGAAATGTCGAAATGCAAAGCTAATCCTGAATGAAGAAACAATGGCCTGTCAGAAGGGGCTCAGTGCCTTTATACACATGGCAGTGAAACATAGAAAAATAATGTAACACATGTGCTCACAACTGTCTGCTGATAAACTTGTCAGGGAGCCCTTGGCCACAGATCCCTATTCATAGAGCAAAAGCAGGTGTTTCTTTTCCAAGGAAACAGGCACTGCCTTATTTTCTATAAAAAAAACCCAATAATTCTCTGAATACTAATAATAGTTCTTTAAATGACACTTCTTTCCTAGGTAGATGCTTATTAATCAGGTATTGCCTGAACAGGAAGTGGGATTGGGGCTTTAAATATGCTTGACTGGGTCTGAACATTTATTTATTTATTTATTTATTTATTTAATATCTGTCCTGCCTTTCCTTCTGGAGCTCAGAGAAACATGCATACGGTAGCATAACTTCCTCTTATAGGTATACATAGATATACATAGCACTATCTCACAACAACCCATAAGATATATTAGATTGAGAGAACCAGTGGCCCAGACATCCTTCTGTGATTGAAGGGAGACTCATATCTGCCAGTCCAACATCTTAATCCCTGTACCACACTGGCTGGCTGTTGAAGCAAGCAAAAGTGAACCTTCTGAACTCAATTCCACCAAATACAAATAGAAAAATCTCAATCTAATTCTTGCCTGTGCTCTTGAAATCTTGCAGTCTTAGCATGTAACTCAAATTTTGCTCTGTTCTAACAGGATCACCTGATTCCCCTGGAGTTGAGAAAGAAGACCACAGCAAAACTCCCAGTCAGCCAAGCCAGACTCCAATTCATCCTTCGGTTGTTGATGCCATTTTGTATGGCTTGCCCAACACCATGTTTACATGATTAGCAATACGTTTCTTTAAGTGTACTTGGAGTGTGAAGGGAACAGGTTTTCATGGCATTTGATATTGTTTTTAAGAAGCCAAGACTTGATGGTTCTTTTAAAGTTAACACTGACATTTATCTTAAACTCTTGTTTTTTAACTTGATGGTTTTGTTATTCTGATTTCCTTCAGATGTTTCAGTTACAGGATTAAAAATTTTTAAAGTTGGATTGCGGTATATGGAGGCCTGGTTTTGTTTTGTTTTTTTTACATTGGGTGCCTGAGACAAGGCTGTTGTAGTTAATTGCTTGAATGGCATAAGTGATAAAATAGTGATATTTAACAGTTCATAGAAACACAGATTTAGTATATTTTTAAAAAATACAAGATGGTTGTTAAAAAACCTAAGCCCACTAATTAAACAAGATTACTTGATATGCCTGAAGAAATCATACCTATTAAACTCTTAAAATTACAGTTCTCGAAATTCCATCTACTATTCTAATTGATCAGACCAAACTTTCAGCAGGTTAACAATCCATCCACAATCACTTCATATAAGACAGGTGTAACCACCATCACCACCACTTTTTCCTTTTCTTTACTTCAAGGACTTGCAAATATGCAAAAACAAACAAACAAATAAATAAATAAATAAATAAATAAATAAATGAATGAATGAATGAATGAATGAATGAATGAATGAATGAATGAATGAATGAATGAATAAATAAATAAATAAATAAAAAAAAAAGAAGAAAAAGAAGAAGAACTGAATACCGTTCAAATGTGATACCGTTCAAATGTCACTGCATTTATTTCTAGTAGGATAAATTGCTGAGGTGATTCAAAAATGTAAATTGTATTCTCTTCTAGTTTTATTTTTAGTTTATTTTGTTATGTTTGTATGGTGTTATTATTGTTTTGTATTTTTTTATTAAAAGTTTTATAAAGTTTACAATATAAATCCCCCCCACCCCTATAACCCTCCTCCCCCCCCCTTCCCAGAGCTGTTCACAGGGTTACAAATAATAATCATAATCTAAATAACATAAACCAGCTAATTATATAACCAAATCTATAACACACTTTAACTCATTTTTAAAATAAATTTAAATAAGTTAAAATTTTGTATTTTGATATGGCCTTATGGCTAATCAATAAAGTATTATTATTATGGATAGTCGCATAGTCAGCCAATGTTTAGACTGGATTTGGCATTTCTAATCCACCTTTCGAGTCCTTCCAAAAAGATTGACTGATTTTGATTGATGCTGTTAAAAGTATCATTGCAGGATGTAAGTTGTAAGATCCAGGAGATGATCTGGACTCCTTTCTATTGGGTTTCAGGCTGGCTTACAGTACAAAGACTGATCCGTTACACTTGATGACTTGTAGCAGAAACCAGATGGGGATAATGCATCCTTCCTTGTGCTTCTTGATCTCTCTGAAGTTTTCATTACTGTCAATCATGGTATTCTTCTGAACCAGCTGCAAGGTTTGAGAGGGAGGGACACTGTTCTGTGGTTGTTCTTTGTGGCCAGTTTCTATTGGTGTAGAGGAGGGGTTAAAGAAAAAAGCCCGCAGCCCATCACCTATAGCAGCGGCTCCCAACCTTTTCTACACCCCGCACCCCTAGAACACTTCTGATATATTCTCATACCCCTTACAAAAGTTCAAAATAACGGCAACGAATCATGCATATACACTATAATTTTGAAAACCCAAGTTTTTGCACCCCCTGGAATACCGTTTCGAACCCCCGGTTGGGAACCCCTGACCTATAGGATCTGAATGTTTCAACACTATCACTCCTTCTGTTTGACATCCACATGTAACTGTCAGATGAAGTCACCCATCAGTCTGAGATCAGATATCATCTATAAATAGACTATAATCAAGTAAATATCTTGGTCCTGGGCTAACCAAACAATGATATTGAAGTCTCAATATCTGGCAATATGGATGGTGAGAAAAAAACTCAGGCTCAGTCATGGCAAAACTGAGTAGCATGGATACCTGGGCCCCTGAATGGAAAATGTTCATGTTTGGTCTTGGATGGGGTTGCATTTCCTTAATCAAGAATGGGTGCCCAATTTTTTGAGAGGGGAGTTATCTTGGACTCATGGCTTCTACTTAAAGAGCAGGTGGCAGCTGTGGCCAAGAGGACTTTTGCACAGGTAAATCTAGTGTGCCATTTGCTCCCATTTAGACAGTTTCCTTCAGATAATGGCTCATGACTTTGTCACTCTACCAATGGATTAATGCACTCTATATGGGATTGCCTTTGAAGACCACTAGAAGCATCAGTGGATCCAAAATGCAGTGTCTGGTCAGTGATGGCCATGCCTTCTTTTGCAATGTAACTCCACAAACTACATTGTCAGTTGGCTTTCAGTGCAAGTCAAATTATTGGTTACAAACTGATTTATGGCAAAGGGCCTGATTATTTGACTGACTACATGTTTCTGGTTGTTTCTTCCAATATGGTGAGACTGGGCAGAATGCCCATGTTTAGGTCCCATCAGTCAAGCAGTGTCATCTAGTCTAGCAGAACCCAGGAAGGTTTTCCTTCCTTATCTTGGCCCCTGCCTCCGGGATGCTATTTCCCCATTGATCCAGATGGTTCCCACCCTGATGATATTCAGCAGGCTTTTAGTGATCTGGCTATTCTCTTGGACCTTGTGATGGGGTGAAGATTGAGTCCCTGTTCCATGGAAGGGAGGGGGTGTTTAATATGTTTGTCTTTTGGATATTATGTCCTTTTGGAGTTTTGTCCTTTTGAATGTTTTAAATATAAACCACCTAGAATTGTTGAAAGCCACACTGCCAATAAATTGCATGCACATACATATGTACATATGAATGAATTCATGCTGCTGGAGTTGACTCACTGTTTTCATTCATATCTATTTTTTTCCTAAATGTATCGTGTTTTTTTATGCTTGGTACAATGTCAAATTTCTATTCTAGTCTTAGAGAGCAGTACATGATTATGCCCTTTTAAGGACATGTATGACTGTATGACTATGATCCCAGTTTTCCCTATGGAGGTATTGGCCTGACAAGGATTTCTACAGCCACATAATATTTCAGCCATCTTAAGCAACATTTAGACATGTTATGCTCACACATTACATAACTATATTGCACGTTATCATCTTCTTGCTTCTGGTTAATAGAAAAAATAATATCAAATAAAATTCCCCAAGCCAATCATGCCCACATCTCTCAAAGTTTTAGAATATTTCTTTCTCAGCAAGTTAGACATGTCTGTTTGCTACGATAAATTATTTGTATTCCTTTTAAGACATCAATGTGTCACTGGAAAATGCTACTGGAGGCTCCCCTGCTGTGCTAAAGTTAATTAGAACATGATAGAAATTTAAGAGGTCTGTTTCACAGGAGTATAAATATTATGACATCTGTAATATTTTGATGTTTGAGGGTTTATCTGTGGATAGAAATAAATGGAATTTCCCCTTTCTGCCTGCCCAGCCTGATTGATTAGATAACTATGTCAACCATGTTTCTCTCATCAAATTACTTACTTGAAAGCACCCATGATTCCTTTCATATTTGTTCCATTTCATTCTTATATATTCTTAAGCTGTAAAGTTAATTGAATTTTAGGGCAATTGAAGTTTTGCAGACCTCTGGAAAATTTGAGGAAAAGTGGGGTTTATTTGAGGAACAAAAACAACCTTGAAATTATTGTGACTCTTGTCCAAAAAGTCACTGTGATGCCTGATGGCTGCCTCCATCAAACTTTAAGCTGTTGGATGCTGTGGTTTCAATCCATAGGATAATTTTTAAGTACATTTAAACTGGAGACCAGAACACCTTCACTAAAGTCCGAATTCGTCTATAGATTTGGACAGGAGGCAGAGACAAGCTAAAGGGTGGAGGGGGGGAGGGAGGGTTGCAGATTCTCTTTCTGGAAGTGTGCACATTACAATATTCATTTAATTAGCTTTTGATTCATCGATTGGGCTACAACATATGTGTGTTAACATATGTGATGGTATGTGAGAGTGACCTTGGGAGACAGCAGGAAGAGCCGCAACCTCAACAACTGTCTGATAAATGAAATCTAAGTTCAAAGGAGGGGTGTATATTATAATAATAATAAAGTTGGAAGGGATCTTGGAGATCATCTAGTCCAACCCCCTGCTCAGGCAGGAAACCCTATACCATTTCAGACAAATGGCTGTCCAGTCTCTTCTTAAAAACTTCCAGTGTTGGAGCATTCACTGCTTCTGGGGGCAGGTTGTTCCACTGGTTAATTGTTCTGTCAGGAAGTAGGGGTAGGGGAATAAAGCATCTCGGAAATGGACCTCTCTAATTTTGGGGAGAGTATACATGAGGGACAGGAGAGGTGCTTTCAGGCTGGCTTTGAGATTCTGTTTAATGTAATCCTACAATTGCTAAAGATGTAAATCCCTTTCACTAAGTGATCTTTGCCCAGTTTCTCTCCCTAATCTACTTCAAAGTGTTTGAACTGACCCATAGTACAACACTATATTTGTAACAGATAAATCATATATTTTTCCGGACGTTCCTTTATAACATTATATAACATTATATAACATTAGTTGCTTTGGCAATTTTAAGGTATTTGGACTTAAAGTCTCATTCTCTGGTTGAAGAATTCTGGGAGTTGTATTTTCATCTTCAAGCCTATGGAGATAAACATCCAGGTCATGATTGTTCCCAAAGGTGCTTTTCAAGCGGCAACTGGACTTTCTTTGTTTTTCCTTAAAGACATTTCGCTTCTCATCCAAGAAGTTTCTTAAGTTCTGGTTGAATAGTGGGGAATGGAAGAATTTATATTCCTTGCAATTATCTGGTCGTTAGCATTCTTTCTGAGAGTCGTTGAGGCCACTTGGAGGTTTATCTGTGCCCTTGGGATTGATTACCTGAATTGTGCAAAGGGGTGTGGAATCTTTTTGGAACTGCTGAAAGGACTCTGTTGTCTCATCTTAAAGTTGCAAGGATGAGAAACCCTACTTTATAATCTGGATGATGATCATGCTGGTAACTAGAAAATACATTAAGCAACATTTATAGATAGAAATTAATTTTCAGTCTTAAGAAAATGGTTTCTTGATGCAGAAGCAGTTTCCAGAAAGGTCTGATAATTTAGGTAAGACATTTTTTTTTCTTTTTTCTCTAGTCTACTACCTCCGGTTGCATTTTCCACATAGATCTCCCATTTCAACCTGCTCCATTTTTAA